AAAAGTACGAACTAAAAATGTTTACCTTCAAATATATGCCTTTCAGTCTAGCCCAAATAGCGTCACATACATCCGGAATTATGCCACTAATAGCAGCCTTTGATATTTTGGAATGAAAATTCAAGCTCTGAAAAGTTTCCCCTGTAAAAGTAAGTGCTTTTAGCCTCATTCCATTCTTGGCCACGCAAGTTTTAATGATACAAATTTTTTACATATTTCATTGCATATATAAGTTTGTATTGAAGTTTACCTGTAGCAAGAAACCGCAGTGTCAAAGACAGTTTTTCAGCTGGAGAAATTGCGGACCACATTATGGTATCTTGCTTTCTTAAATCTTCCTTAATGAATGAAAGCAGGAAATTAAATTGGGTCTCAGTCATTCGCAAATAATTTTTATAGCTAGCTTTGTCCGATATCAATAGCTCTTTTGTTAAGAATGCGAATTATCCTTTTTCCGACTTCGCTTCCCTCCACACCTTTGTCCATTCACGATTTTTTTTCCTTATAGGCATCTTTGCCACTTTTTCACACATATTGATTAGTCCTGGAGTTTAAAAAATACCTTTAATTTAGTATTAAATTTCCAATCTACAATCTCAGTACAAACCTTTACATATGTCCTCCCTTTCGCTATCATCCGAATCGATCTCGACGGCTTCCTCGATGCACTTAAAAATATCTTGCATTAATTCAATTTTATCTTGGTACTCCATATTCTGAAATGTTCATATATATATATATATGCATATATAAACATACATGTGAATATTTAAGTACAAAAAATCAAGAACCAAATTACAATTTCACAACTTACCGTATGTATTCATATAAATCTCAACAAAACTGCAAACACTGAAAGAATTTGTAAATCAAAAGGAATGTCAAATTTCTTAGCAGCGAACTGAGACGAATAAGAACACAGAGCGTGTTGCCCGAGCACGAGAAACTCGGTGCCCTTCCCCCTTCCTCGTCGCTCCCTCTCCCAAAAGTAACGAGTTGCGGCAACAAAAGTTTCTCCGTCTGAACCTAGACCTAAGCATTGGCGCCGAAAGCATATATTGTGTGAAAAAGCAGTGGCAATGAAAAGCAATGGAAATGAAAGGCAATGCAAAACAATTGTATTGAAATCAGTGCAATGTGTCAAATGAGGATTCTTTACTTACTGAACACTCTTACTATTGGTATTTTATGGAGAAAATAAAATAGTTAAGTTATTACTTTACATGCATATATGGTGTATATTTCATATTTTATTATATTTAAACACTAATATATGTATGTATACTACTTATACTTTATACCAAAACTGGTTTACAAATTTTACAGCTTTGAAAAATGCTTACGCTGTCAATGGAATTGAGTCAAGCCACATGAAGGGGGCGCCAAAATTTCCGCAAAATCACCGATTATAACAAAAATATTTTTGCATAGGTTATCCCTCACGTACTTAAACGCTAGATATGAATATTTTTATCATATTCCCATTTTTTGTTAATTTTTAAACTTAAGCACGTGACGGATCCCCTATCCAAAAATAAATTGGTTTGCTTGACCTTGGTTTGTCGGTCCAAACAGGAATCTTTATTTACGGTTGATGGATAGCTCGCTTCCAATGGATGGTGGCAAGGAAGTGCTTGACTTACGTGTAATGATTTTGTATTACCGGCTTATGGTGACTGAATTGCTGTCAAATGAATAGTCCAGATTTGATGCTCACAACTTCTTTATTCTACGCAACAACATGGCTGGGGATTTGCCGGAAGGAATGTGACGGCACCTTTTGCCTCTATTAATTTCCACTGAGGGGTGAGTATCGACTCCTCGAATGTCGCCAGCTTTTAATACAAGCTTTTAATCCACTTTAATTACTTGGTTGTAATTCCGTTCTTGCGAGGGCTGATGAGTGTGGTTCGCTCCGTGTCCAATTCCAAAAAGGAGATATATTTTTCTAGCCTCGTGGTATGTGACCACCGATTCTTTTATCGTATGTCAGTGTGGGCGTTTTCGTAGTGGCCATGTCAATTCGTGTCTATACCGATATGATGGTTCGTGTCTTGAATAACTATTGGTTACGTACATCCATTTTGAAGTTTAGCTTCGACAGTTTTGTTATGTATACATTTCTTATAATCGTTCTTATGTCTATTATTTGGGCAGTAAAAAATAATAGATCATTATCCCCCTCTCATCTCCAGCGACACGTTAACAAAAAAAATGTGGAGCGTTTAGTAGGGATATGAGAATGGTGGTTCGAATGCGATTCACGGGCTGTGGTTTGATCGACGTTAGACCTTACATCGAAATCGTTCTATATGATCTTCATCAACCCCATCCTGACTCGTTCAGTTCGCCTTTAAGCGCATATGTATGTATAAATGTTCCGTCTTTAGTATTTAGTTTCAGTACGCATTACATAAGCTACGGTAGATGAAAGGCATTGGTAAATGATTTGGTTATGAATCTTTTCTTGTTTGCTTTGATCGATTTGCTAGCAATGTACTGAGGATATAATATAACAAAACTATGGATATAACAAAACTAAACTTAATTAATTTATTCCAGCCGGGTACCCTGTAATAAGGCAGAATCAATGGAGTATGGAGGCCCGCCATATATTCATCGAAATTCTTGAGAAGGCGAATGTACTGAATGAGTTAACGTGTTGTGATTAAATCGGCGGAATAATTGTCAAGCACTCGGTGTTTAGCATCGATCAGTAGATATGAATTCGAACCAAGTTTCCGTGAAACATAGGCTCTAATTTTTGGTGGGGCTAGTTTTTGTGCATAGCCCTCTCCGGCCACGGACTGTTTAGGATTGGGAATGTACACTTCCGAGCCTATCTCGAAATGGCGTTCTCTTTTGCGGGTAAATGCCCGTTGTGCGGTTTGTTGATATTGTTCGAACTGTTTGTCTCGAATTTCATCAGCCAGAACTTTACGCTGTTCCACATCCTGTGTATGGTATGGATTTACGTCCAATAATAATTTATATTCGTTTCCATCTTTCACATATTCACGACCAGTGTGCAGGAAATATGGCGTGTAGCCCGTGGCTGAATTCCCTGAAGTGTTACTATCATGACTAACACGAGAAAGATGGTTTTCCCAGGAGGAATGTTCAAAAAGGTCAGCCATGTGAGCACGTAATCCAAGTTTAATGCTTTTGTTTGTCGCCTAGACCTGATTGGCTTGTGGATGGTACAAAGGCGTTTTCATGTGTTTGATGTTATAATCGGCGCAAAGCTGTACGAAAGTTTTACTGATGAATTGAGTACCATTATCTGACACAATGAGTTCGGGGCAGCCATTCACCGTGAATATGTGTCGACGATAATTGACTACGAATATAGCGTTTGCATTTTTCATGGGCTGCGCCCAGACATATCGCGGGTAACAGTCGATGGCTACGAAGATCCATTGGTTACGATTTTTAGACATGTGCAGCTTACCGACGAAGTCAATCGATAATTGCCTACCCGGTCGTTTTGGTTCTCTATATTCGCCGTGAGGTGTTTTGGTGCTCTCATTACTTGGTTTAATGTGGTGGCATAGTTCACATTGCCGAACGTACTGGTAAACGGACTCATACATGTTTGGCCAGTAATAGCGTTGTGAGATACGTCTATAAGTTTTCCAAACACCCTGATGCGAATGTAGGTTATGATTTTCATCGAGGACTTTTGCTCTCTCAGAAGATGGTACACAAAGTGTCCACAGTATTTCCGCATTTTGATTGGAAAATTTTAATCGATGATATAGGAGGTTGTTCTCGATTTTATATCTATCTAATGGTTGTTTTGAGGCCATGGCGTGCATTTTGTTGTACCATTTATCGCACGTGTTTGGGTCAATATTAATCACGGATGTGATTGGGGTACGATTAACGAGAAAAATACTCGGAAGGTCAATTGGACTTCTACGAACGATGTTGAGAAGAGCAAAAGAACGAGATAAGGCGTCAGGAAGTTCTAAATGTTTTCCTGGTTTATGAATAATTTTGAGATCGTATGGTGATAATCGGATCGCCCAAGGGCATAATCGGCCAGTTGTTTCTTTGAGAGTTTGTAGCCAGCGCAAAGCTGCATGGTCCGTTACCACAACCAATTCACGACCCTCAAAATATGGACGGAACTTTTCGACCGCTAGAAGAACGGCTAGGCATTCCCGTTTGGATGCTGTGTAATTCTGTTCGGCTTTCGAGAATTTCTTAGAAAAATACTGAGCCACACGTTCATTCCCATCATGTTCTTGTACTAGAACAGCACCCGCTGCGATAAGCGAGGCATCGGTATAAACCTTGAATGGTTTTGAATAATCGGCCATAGTCAGAACGGGAGTGGTAGTTAAACACTCTTTGAGTTTGAGAAAGGTTTGTTCAGCAGCAGTATTCCAATATTGTTACGAAAATTGTTTATATTATGTTTGTGTGTATTTACATTTTTTTTGTTGTCAATAGTTGCCCTGAATACGGTTACCGCGGTGTAACCGAAATATATTGGAGAAAAATTAAAAACCAGCATCGTCCGAAAAGAAAAGGGATAGACCTAATTTTATAAGGAGAAAAAAATGAATTAATTGCAAATAATACATTTGTATAATAGATACGAAAAAAACAAATAAGCATACCCTTCTTGGTTGGTAAACAAATAAATGAGATCAAGATCAATAATAGTAAATATTGGGAGTAAAGGCTTTTGCCGATTCGTTTTTAATTTAACGACGTGCTTTAATGTTACGAATAGTAATTAAACACAAAAACGTTATTTTTTACTAAATTTTCCTTAACCCGTTTACCCAACAATCTCTCAATCCGTGTAAATTTTAACTTCCGAACAATATTTTTAACATGTAAGTTTGTATGCGATATGTAAATATGTATGTATATTTAAAATAACGCTCGAGTATCTGCACTTGCAGTATTATCAATTTATAAAAAGTTTACTTAATACACACATACGCAAGGCTACGAAAGCTATCGATTGAGTTCACACGATCTCGTCGGTGATAAGTCAGCCGACTCGAAACAATCGAAAAACATCTCGACTGTACAGTCGGGCACCGAGTCGATTGTTGGCTCGATTTTAATTTCGCAACGATGCCGATTGTCTCGATCGTTTAAACATTTCGGACTCGCCCATCACTACGTCTCAGCGGTTTTACCGTTTTTTGTGCCATGGTATACATGAACCAAGTAACAAGATCACGCAATCGGAAAAGAATGCAAAAAGTAAATTTCCGAGCTGATGTCAAATGTGCCAAAGAATGAAAACAAACAAAGAAAACGAAAAAGGCGCGGTGATTGAGTGCGGTAAAATTGGTATTTATTATAAAATATAAAAAGTGAAAGTTGATGACAATTAGCAAAAAAAAAAGTTTATAAAATATGGTTTTCATGCACGGTGGAGAGAATACAGAAGGTGGCGCCGATGGCAACACCGCTAATCGGCTCTCAGTGAATTTGTGAAGTGAAGTGACGTCACAGACGAGCTGACAGCAGTAGTGATGTGCTGAGTCAATACTTTTAAGTATTGATCGATACTCGGTACCGATTTAAAAGACATCCGATGCTCTCGATACTCGGTACCGAAACATATAGGTTTCGAATAAAAGCGCACATAGGCCAAAAATTTGGAAAAAGACGGTTCAAGGGAGACTCGCCTATCAAAACCCGAATGTAGGAGCCAATAGAGCTTTTAATACTGATTCAAATGAAAGATGTATGTGGGAATCAACGGACGGACTACTCGCAGCGGAAATGAGTACTGACTCACTGACGCACTAACGTACGGCCGTACTTAAAAAACGCAACCCTGACCTACGACAATACTCCACACTGCCAAACGAACCGAAGTACGAGTGAACAGAAACATAAAAGGACAGTCATTAAACTACCGCGACCCAACGCACATCGTACGCTGCAATTTATGTAATTAAACATTTTCTTAAATATTCAATAAATATTTGTACACCCGGCGTTAACCGACTATATATGTAAAACGAGTGTTTTATTTCGAAAGTAGTAAGGGCTTT